CCCAGACGTCTCAGCTTTGGGTGTCTACGATTTGGTGGGAGTGGCAGAATGATGAGTGTATGGGGAAGAAATAGAGCATGGGTGGGCCCAGGACAGGGCAAAGCCTCCTCTGAGAGGGGCGTGGGTGATGACCTAAAGGACAATGGGAGTTAGCAGGGCAGACAGGGGCTGGACAGATCCCGGCAGCAAAGAGAAGAGCGCTCAGTGCAGGACGGGCAGGGGCAGAGGCCAGCCACACAGCCTTCTAGCAGGCGAGGTGGTGGGGAGGGCAGCGAAGGGTCAAGGAGTGCGTTTCCTTTACACATTAATGTCTGTGTCCCCTACTAGACTGTTAGCACCATGAAGGCGAGAACTATGTGTGTTTTGTGCCTGGGGCAGAGTAGGTGCTCAAGAAATATTTGCATGATTGGATATTAATTTTAAGAGACCATGTGCATTGCTTTGTGAGGACAGTTGCCAGGGTGGATGGAGAAGCCAGACAGGGGGCTGGAGGGACAGGAGATGATGGGGCCTGGCCTAGGCTGGAGGCAGAGGGAGGTAAGCGTTGAGTGGAGGGAGCCCGGGTAAAGGGGACGCCTCCCCAAGATGTGCAGGCTGCGGGGTGAGGGGAGGGCTGGGAGGTCAGAGGCCCCATCGGGAACCCCTGGTGTTGGTGGCCCACAGGGAAGTATGCAGCCCTGGACGCAGAAGCCATCTCCCCACTCCTGGAGCTGCTCGGCTCGTCCTTGAGCAGGGCCCGCCTGAACGCCATCAAGGCCCTCACCATGCTGGCCGAGGCCCCTGAGGGCCGCAAGTTCCTGCAGGCCCACGTGCCCAACTTCCGTGTCCTCGAGAGAGATGCCAACGAGGCCGTGCGGAGGGCGGCCCAGGTCGCCATCAAAGTTATTGAGTGGAAACCTTGAGCCTCTTATCAGGCCAGACCTGATAAGCGCCATGCCTGAATACAAGGGCTGAATCTCTTTATCTCTGGTCTGAAAGGCACTTTCTATTCCCGGAGCATGGTCACATCTCCCCTCACCTGCCAGAGGGGAAGTGCCAGGCCAGGAGAGGCAGCACGGCTGAATCCAGGGCCCAGGGACAGGCGGGAGGCATCCTGCTCTCTGCTGGGCGGAGAGGCTCCTCGGAAGGGAGAGAGCAGGGCTGAGCCCTCCAGGGACAAGGGCGGGGGCAGGGAGTTGGGGTGTGGAAAGGAACACAGCTGGACCAGGCGCCACCCAAGCTTCAGACACTCTAGTGACCAGGCCCTTGGAGTGCAGCAGGGCACGGCCCTGCTCAGCCAGGTCTGCCCCCTTCCCACACTGGGTGGCAGAAAGGAAGGTCAAAGGTGCCATCCTATGTGGGCTCTTGCTAGTTGCAAGATGAGTGCTCAGGACAGGGATAGCCCTTCTTAAGATCTTCCCCCAGACAGCTGCATTCTTCTCCAAAGCCTGGAAATCACCTGAGTAAGCTCCTGGGCTGGCCTGAGGCTGCCACACCCCTAGCCCTCCCCCTGCTCTCTGCCTGCACCAGGGCGGCCCTCTGGTGAGCCTTCCACCTGTGCCTCCACTTGCCCCTCTTCTCCCCACAGTGACACTGGCCAAGGAGGTTGGAGAGCTTGCGGGGTAGGGAGGAGAACCCAGGGTGTGTGGGGGGGTCCCCTAATCTCCCCAACCCATCCCTGCCGGGTCTCGCAGGGTGACAGTTCTCCAGCCAGTTCTTTTTTTTTTTTTTTTTAAAGATTTTATTTATTTTATTTCTCCCCCCAAAGCCCCAGTGGATAGTTGTGTGTCGTAGCTGCACATCCTTCTAGTTGCTGTATGTGGGACTCGGCCTCAGGATGAACGGAGAAGTGGCGCCTCGATGCGCACCCGGGATCCGAACCCGGGCCACCAGCATCGCAGCGCGCGCACTTAACCACCAAGCCACAGGGCCGGCCCATCTCCAGCCAGTTCTGACCTCGGTTGGAGAAGCTGTAGGAGCGCAGCTCAGCTTCAGGGGAGCTCTTTGAGGCTCCCTGCCTCTAACAAGATTTCCCTCATTACGTCACCCACCAGCAGCCATACTTCCTGTGGGACAGAACCTCCCGGCTTGTGGGATGCCCACTCTTCCCAGAGTAAACACCATCAGCAGAACCAGAATCCCCAAGTGAGCACCTTCTTGCTGTCCTTTCAGTGGCTGGGCCTTCACTCTCCTAAAAGACACAGAGAAGTTTGTGTCCCTGGAATTAGAGCATTAGCCCAAGTAGGCCCTCTTGTTCCAGAAGGCACTGGCTGCTGGGCCCAGCTGGAGTTTCAGGTTAAACCTCATTCTCAGAAAAGGCCCCAAAAGAGGTAACCTTTTCTCCTTTAGGAAAATAGGTGCTTGAGCGGCTCCTGTTCCTCATGCCCCAATCCCACCCCCAACCACAGCAGGCTGGCTCCACCCCTACCGCCTCACCAAAGGGCTCTGACCAAAGGTTCTGGGCTCCTTGCAGCCAGGACCCCGTGCTCTTTGTGCTTGACCTGTGCAGAGGCCCAGGTGTGGAGGCTCCCTTCCCGAGGCAGCCGTCTTGGTCCTCCTCCCAAGGCTCTGGCTGTGCCCTCTTGGTCTACTTTGTAGAACCCTCTTTCTCTACATGACCGGTAGCGTTGGTGTTTCTCCCAGCTTTGTTCTAGGCTCTCTCTCCTCCCACTCTCCCACACAATCTCACCTGCCTGGCTGTGGGCCTGCTCTACCAGGTTCCCTTCTTTGCTAGGCCTGCCCACTCGCTGCCTTCTCTTCTCCAAATCTGAGTCTCCAGCCCCAGCCTCTCTCCTGAGTTCTGGACTCTTCTATTCAACTTCACATCTACCCTTAAATGTCTCCAGGCAAGAATTTTTTTTTTAATAATTTTATTTATTTTTATTTCTCCCCCAAAGCCCCAGCAGACAGTTGCATGTCATAGCTGCACATCCTTCTAGTTGCTGCATGTGGGACGCGGCCTCAGCATGGCCGGAGAAGCGGTGCGTTGGTGCGCGCCCGGGATCCAAACCCGGGCCGCCAGTAGCGGAGCTTGCGCACCCAACCGCTAAGCCACGGGGCCGCCCTCCAGGCAAGAATTAATACCAGTCCTTCACAGACTGTTCCAAAAACTAGAAGACGAGGGGACGCTTCCCAGCTCATTCTATGAGGCTAATGTTACCCTGATACCCAAACCAAAGACATCACAAGAAAAGAAAACTGGAGAACAATACCCTTTATGAATATAGACACAAAAACTCAACCAAATATTAGCAAACCAAATCCAGCCACATAAAAAAAGTATTATACACTATGACCAACTGGGATTTATCCCAGGAATGCAGGTTTGTTTAACATATGAAAGTGAATCAATGTAACTTATAAATAGAATAAAGGACAGAAACCACACGATCATCTTAAGATGCAAAAAAAGCATTTGACAAAATCCAACAGCCATTCATAAAAAAAAAAACCTCTCAGCAAACTAGGAATAGAGGGGAACTTCTCAACATGATAAAGAACATCTGCAAAAATTCATAGCTAACATCATACTGAAGGTGAAAGACTGGATGCTTTTCCCCTAAGATCAGAAACAAGACAAGGATGTCTGCTCTCACTACTTCTATTTGACATTGTACTGGAGGTTCTAGCCAGGGCAATTCGGCAAGAAAATGAAATAAAACGCATCCCGATTGGAACGAAAGAAGTAAACTATCTCTATTTGCAGGCTAACGTGATCTTGTATATGAAAGATCCCAAGGAATATGCTCAGAAACGATTAGAACTAATAAATGAGTTCAGCAAAGTTGCAGGATGCAAGATCAATATACAAAACTTGTTTTTCTATACACTAGAACAAACAACCCAAAAATGTAATTAAGAAAACAATTCCAGGGCCAGCCCTGGTGGCCTAGTGGTTAAGTTCAGCACCCTCCACTTCGTCGGCCCAGGTTAGGTTCCCGGGCACGGATCTACACCACTCGTCCGTGGCCATGCTGTGGCGGCGGCTCACATACACAGAGAAGAGGAAGATTAGCAGCAGATGTTAGCTCAGGGCGAATCTTCCTCATCAAAACCGCCCCCGCCCAAAACCCCAATTCCATTTACAATAGCATCAAAAAGACTACAATATTTAGGAATAAATTTGACAAAAGCAGTGCAAAACTTGAGTGCTGAAAACAAAACATTATTGAAAGAAATTAAAGAGGACCTAAATAAATGGAAAGACATCCCATGTTCATGGATCAGAAGACTAATATTGTTAAGATGGCAATAAGTATCTTCATGCAACTCAAACTCACCATGTCCCAAACAGCGCTCAACTTTTCTCCCACATCTGCCCTTTTCCAGTGAGGCTTGTCTTTGGAATTGGTGCTCCCTTTACCCACATGCTCAAGCCAGAGGCACCCCTGGCCCCTCCCTCCAGAAATCTCATCACTCAAGTCCTGTGACTTCTAATTGCTGGCTTCTCTTGATGCCATTCCCTTCTCTTTTCCTCTCTGCCACTAATTTGCCTTCATTGCCCTAACAGGCTCCTGGTGGGTGTTCCTGCCTCCCTTGCATCTTTCTAGCACAGCCAGCAAATCTGATCCTCTCACTTCCCTGCTAAAACTCTACGGGATTTAGGATCCCAAAGCATATAAGCCCCGCAGGTCAGGCCTCTGTCCACCCTGCCCTCCCCATCCCCCACCGTTCTCCCACACACAGGCCACGTCTTGGCATCCTCAAACATGTCTCGCACCCTTGCCTCATGTTTTCCCACACATTGTCCCTTCTGTTATCCAGCTGACCTCCTCCTTTGGTCACGGGAGGCCTTCCCTGACTCCTGGGCTAGGTGGGGCTCTCTGCAGGGTGCTCCTGCAGTGTGGACAATGTGTGGAGGAGCAGTGTGTAGACTTGGTGTCAGGCAGAGCTGCTTCAAGTTGCCTTGCTGAGCTTGATTCTCCTCCCCTGCGAGATGTGGTTAATTCTAGTCCTTCCACAGACAGTGGTTCTGTGGCTTCAATGTGATAATGTACTTACCCCAGGGAGGAAAGCAGCAGGCCAGACTACACGCCGGCTATCACCGCTAGTGTTTCACTGTTTGTTTCCTCCATTGGCCCCGGGCTCTGTTCACGGCTATCTCCCTGCAGTGGCTGGCACATGGCAGACACTCAAAAACGTCAGCTGAAGGAGTAAACTAGGGATGAGGGACTGGTCATGTGAGCGTGCCTTCAGAGTATGATTTTTGTGATGCTGTGTGGCCCTCCCACAAATCACTTCAAGGCACCTGAAACTTTTCCTAAAGACACAAATCATTTATTTTGGTCTGAGAAGAGGAAGAAGGAATGGCTTTGGGAGCCCCTGCAGAGACACAGCCCAGGAGTGGCCTATACTGGACAGCTAAAGGGCCTCTAACCCCGGGGCCCAGCGCCTAAGAATGTCCCAGCAGCAGACAGACTGGTGGGGACTGGGAAGAGCTCAGCAAAGAGGGAGGTTTCCTCTCTGGTTGCCCTCGGCGTGTGGTGTGGCTGCAGCCAGACAGTGCTGAGTGGTAGGGAGGCCTGTTCCGCTGCGGCCAAGATTGCCTCAGCCCCACCGTTGGTCCAGGCAGGAGCTGAAGTTTCCATCCACAGGCAGCTTTGGCTCCTGCTGGCCTGTGAGGTCACCAGCAGTGGGCACGGCACCTGTGGGTGGGAACCGTGGTGTTGGGGGGACGCTTACACTACGTGGCAGCTTTGCCAGCAGGGCCATACCTTTAAGCAGGAGGAGAGAACAAAGCAAACGGAGATTGGGTATAGGAAGGAAATGAGGACATCAAAGTAAACACAAGCAAAAATCCCAAATATATCTAGAGATAAAAAGCCAAAATTAAATTTAAAGTGAAAGTCAGTGTTTATGCAGTAGAGCCATTTGGAGAAAATGACTCATTTTGTAAAGGAACAGATGTTCTCATTTGCATAGTCTCTGCAATCACAAAAAGACTTCACTCTGTTCCGTCAGCACGCATGTCCTGCAGCTGGTGGCACTTGATGTGTCACAATGAGGGAGCGTTTTCATGAATGTCATCCCTGGTCCCGTATCCGTGGGTCTCCTGGTAGGAAACACTTCGTCCTTAGTGACGAGGGAGTCTGAGGAGGCAGCGGTCTGTCTGCTCTTCCCAGACGCCCCTGGGCCCCAGCTGCTTTAGGAGTAGCGGATGTGGCACAGGATTACGATCAATATCAAGAAGAATGCGCCGGCATTGGCAACTTTTCTCCAGAAGGGCGTCTCCGACATGTCACCACGCTTTGTCCCTTCCCACATGTCACCCTGCTTTGTACCTTCCCATGTGGTACTGCGCTCTGTCCCTTCAGAAGTTTCACGGCGCTTTGTCCCTTCCAACATGGCACTGTGCATTGTCCCTTCAGATGTGTCATGGCGCACTGTCCCTTCCCACATGGCACTGTGTTCTGTCCCTTCAGACGTGGCACCACGCTCTATCTTCTCCACGGCTGCCTCTTCTGGGACCAATTTGGGGCTCGGCCGCGGCTCCAGGCCACAGAACATGTCCCATGCCTTCCAGAGGCAGCTCTGTGCCTCCTTGAATACATCTGCATCAAGGGAACAGGCAGAGGTCAGGAGGCACAGGCCAGGACACAGGAGGGAGGACTTTCTAGGGGGTCACGTCTCAGTGGCAAGTCCAGCAGGAAGGCCGACAAACTTGCTCCTAATATGAAGAACAGTCCTCAGCCCCTGATGTGGAAAACCTACCACCATTCTCAGAGACCCCGGAGAATGGGACAAGGGATGAGGGCAGCATGGCAGGGGCAAAGTGGTAGTTGCCTGGGGCCATGCATGCGTTCCATTGGCAGAGCCTTCAGCTGGGCCCAGATCCCCTGGACTGGGTGGCAGAGGTGTCAAGGGGGCCTCCATTGTCACAGGAGTAGGTCCTCCCTGGTGTGCCCTGAGCATGCCCACCTTTCCTGTCACAGGCACATGGCCGAATACAGCTCTATACGTTTAGGGCAAGTGGCTGCTCCTCTGAATCCTCCTCCCCAGTGCTACTCTCTAGAGGATGGAAGAAACCCTCTGACTTCTGGAAACAGACACTGCTCTCCTTGGCAATCTCTTGGGGAGTGTCTTCTCTAGGCAGGTTCCGGTCTCATGGCCTGGCCTAAAATAAGGCTTTCTGGGCCCTTGAAGGGGAATCACTGGTGTTTTCTAGGAGGCAAAGGAGGGAAGTCTAGGAATTATAGGAAAGTTTCCACTCATTTCTCTAGGCCAAATTAGGGAGAACACCTAACTCTGAGGCTGACACGTCCCTCCCGTGTCTGTCAGAACAGCTTGAGCTGGCTGCTCCTCGGGTCTGCTCAGGCGCGGGTCAGCACCACGGCCAGCTCCGGCACTCCCTTGTGGGCCCAGCCTCTGCCTGGGAAAGGTTCCCTCCTTGATGACAAGACAAACACATCTCAGTCCCAGTGAGTGAGCTGGCTCCCTGCAGTGTGCGCTGTGACATGTTTTGTGTCCCATCCCGTTGGGCATCCCCCAGGCCAGCTGTGTCCTGAGGCTGAAGTGGCACCAGAGATGATGCAACCCATCAGCCAGGGACAGAGGAGCCTCTGTTACAAGGTGAGAGTGGCTGCAGCTGGAGGACCCTAAAGCCAGGGACACAGATATCTGCTGTGGGTGCTGGGAAGTCCTGAGCAGCACCCTCTGGCCCCATTCTCTCAGATGTGCATGTTGTCGTACCGTCACGGAGCCGCCAGGCCCAAAGAGGCTGCCGTATGTAAAAGGCAAACGATCATTTGACCACAGCCCAAGGGCTGTGTCATGGGTGGTGGGGAGGCCAGTGACCGAGTACACACTTTGGAGTCAGACTCCCTGCGTTCAAATCCCAGCTCCACCACTGCCTGGTTATCTGTGGAGCCTGGGGCAAGTTACTTAACTGTTCACTGCCTCAGTTTCTCCATCTCTAAAATGGCGATAATATTTGTACCCATCACACATGGGTATAATTTCGACAGTTCCTGGCACATCCCAAATGGGCAATAAACATTGGCCACTGTCATCATCATCATCCACCCCTGACAGTGGCATGAGGAAGAGGAGGAACTGGGACGTGCACCAAGTTCCTAGGAACTGGAGCCGGCTCACTCGCTGGGACTGAGATGTGCTTGTCTTGTCATCAAGGAGGGAACCTGGGAACTGGGACGTCCACCAAGTTACAAGCACCTGGCACACCATGGGCAGCCAGTTTACTGCTCCCCCCACCCACCTTAGGGAGGAGGAATTCCCAGGGAGCCCTGCATCCTCCAAGGGTATGGGGCAGCCTTGCTTAGGAGAGGCCACTCCCCTGCTCCACTCCCACCCCCAGAGAAGTCCAAGGAGCCCATTCCAACCCGGGGTCTCCTCTGCCAGTGTCAGGAGGAAGCTGCACACCTCTCTGGGCTCTGAACTTTGCTGGCAGGAGTGGAGAGGGGGCCCCAGAACGCTGCCTTCTCCCCAGACAGGCCTTTCCCTCCCTCCCTCCCCCAGACTCACAGCCTCCCCAGCACCCTCTGCCCAGCCTCCGGACTAATCTCATTAGGCTTCTATCCCTGTCTGCGTCAGGGTCCTAAGAAGCTCAGGTCACGCTCCCCCATGGCCCGAACACTCCTTTTCTGACCCCATCTGCTGAAACTCTTCCTCTGGGGCCTGAGGCCACAGTCTGAGCCTCTCCTGGAACATTCTCTCTCTTCTTGCTGGGACTGAAATCTAGTTGTCCCTGGACCTCTTTCCCCTGGTGCCCTCTTAGATGGGGCTGTTTCCTCCTCTCCCCCTTAGAGACCATCTCCCGCCCCCTTCTGAGAAATCCTCTCCTTTTGAATCTCTGTCTTGCTCTCCCCTTCACCTCCCTCCCCTACTCCACTTCCCTCCACCAGGTTGCTCTGGTTGAGACAGGAAATGATCTCTGTGTGGCTAAATCCCACAGCCAGTTCTCAGGCCACATTTTTCTTCACCTATCAGCATTTGCCTCAGTGGATCACCCCTCCACTCCCGAAAGCTTCTAGGTCACCAAACACTTCTTGTTTTTTCACCCCTTGGCTGGTTCCTCCTCATTGCCTGGAGTGCCCCTCGCTTCATGCTGGCCCCCCTCCTCCCTGCACCCGTCCTCCAGGGGCCAGCCTGGTATATCTGCTGATGTCTCCCACATGGATCTCTCCAGCCCAGACTGCTGCATGTGGATGTTCAAGAGGCATCTCAACCTCAACAAACCCCAAACACCCCCAAAGGCAGCTTAGGAAAAATGAAAGTTGGAGCCTCTGCCTGGAAGAGCATGTCTGGGCGTGGAGACGGTGGCGCAGGGGTGCTGGGGTGGCAGCATAGGCCACATCCCCCCAGAACACTCTCAACAAGAGCCCTCCTATAGGCTCTGGATCTTCCTTCTCACCTGCCTGTGCCTGGGGTGCGGGTCTCTTCCCTTGTGTCTCTGCATCGAGATCGACCCTTTCCTCTTGGCTGTTTCGTAAACTCCAACAGAGCCGGTAGAGCTGGGGGGAGAGCGAGGGCATGTCACCACCCAAGGCCCTGTCACGCAGGCCTTATGGTACCCAACAGCTGGGCACCAGGGTCTCCATGGACTGAAAAGAGATCTGGTTGTTAGCCTCCAACAAAAGACGGAAGGAATGTAGGGTAGGGAAGGTGCAGCACTTGGGAACTCTGGATTTCCACTGTGGCCCTGGCGAAAGTGACACAACCTGCCTGGGCCCCAGTGTCCTTTAGCTGAAAAGCAAAGGGTAGGAGGCAACGTGCTCCGGGATCCTTCCGGTTCTGAGAGTCCAGGAACCTGTGCCCTTCAGCTGGGAGAAGCCGCCCATCAACCCCGGGCTGCTGCTTCTGGTGAAGGAGGAAGTCTCTTACCCGATGAGGACAGGGCAGCCCGGGAAGCTGCTTTCCTTCCAGAAGCCCCTACTGGCCGTCTGAGACGAGCATTAACTCAGCCCAGGAGAGGCTTTACCTGGTTGACCTGGCCCTTGCCCAGCTCAGTCGCCCAAGCTCAACAGGGCATTTGCAGATGCAGAAGGGGCACATCGCTTCACTTCCGGTCTGTGATTTTGTTCTCTTCCTGAAAACGTATATGGAAACTTTGGGAAGTAACAAAATCCAGCTAATTGTTGCTTTTTTTTAAGGGTTGAGGTCAGGAGAAGCACAACTAAGTGAACATTCCTACCCAGTCTGTCCTGGAATAGATTTTAATCTCTTATACCAGCCTCAGTATATTTGAATCTCAGCCACCACCCACCCCCTCCCCCCAACATATGGCAGGGATGTGAATAAGCTGGGCTGGGCCCCCTCCCCAGCCAGCCCACTCCAAGACCCGCCCGAGCCCCTCCTCTCAGACTAAAATGTTAGAACTAAAATTCTGTTGTGTTAATGACAGAGATTGAGTTTAGCCTCTGACTGCTTCCTGAGGATGCCATGTGCATGCACTTGCCTTCCCAATCACATTATTAGCCCCCTGTGGATGAGCCTGGGTTCCCAGGCCATCCTGCCTCCCCTGGTAGTGGTGAGCAGAGGGCCTGGCACACTGACACTGATCCATAAACACTTATTTCCCTCTTCATCTCCCCCTCCCCTATGTTCTCCAGAGCATCTGGCATACTGCTAGGCAGATGGAAAACACTCAACAAGTACTTGGCTGCCTGAGAAGTGGGCAAAATCAACAAGTTGAGAGTAAGAGAAGAGCAGAAAAGAACGCAGACAATCTAACCAATTAAGACCCTGAGCAACAAGAAACTAAGTCCACCCCCCAGCTTCTCAAGGTGCTGGGAGCAGGGAAGGTTCCCTGCTGTCACTGATACAGGGGGATGCATGGTGGGCATGTGCCTCCCAGACCATCCTGGCTGTCCTCCCCATCTGCTCTGTCCCTCTTCCAGCTGGGCTCTGTGTGCGAGAGAGGAATGAATCACATGGAAACTACTGAGCAGAAGTCATGGCCAGAAGGAAAGCCCAAGGTTGAGCTGGGGACCTTGAGGCCGTCTTCCAGGTTTTTGCCTTTTACTGAGACCCCAGGCAAAGTTGCAAGAAAGGCACATGGTCTTATAGACCCATCTCCCTTCTGAGCGCCTCCCTCCACTTCAGACACCCGGACCCTCCCTGCTGCTTTCCGGCTCTGCCAAGTCCCTGTCCTGCTAAGCCTACTGACCATGCCAAAGTAGGTGACATAGTGGAGCCAGGTTGGGGCCCAGCCCTGATAGTTACTAGTTTTGGTACCTTGGACAAATGACCTAACTTCTCTGAGCCCAGGCTTTCTAACATCCCAACTGGGGTGACTGACACCTGCCTCCTGGGTAGTGGGAAATGGCCGTGCAAGGAGAGGCTGAGAGCACCCAGCCTGAGAAGGCCACACGCAGCTGCCAGCCTTAATGTCCCCTCCCCGTTCCTGCTGGCTTAATTCTTTCTGGGTGGGTGGCAGCTGGGACTGCCATGATTACATTAACTCATACTGAGTTTAGTGATCTTAATACTTTCAAGGAAAATTTGCATTTTAGAAGCTATACTTCTCATTCTAAGTGAATACCTAATTGGTGGATTGTTAAAAATCTTTTTAGTTTAGTTTTGTCTTTAAGGCAGGTCTCTTTCTGTGTTCTTTGCCTGTTTCTGACCCCACCCTGCACCCACCCATCCCCACCTCCCACTTTCAAAGACAAGGCAGGAATTCAGCCACTATTCTCCAAAGCTAGCAGAGCTGAGTGACTGCTCACTGGGACATGCTGGGACGGTGGGTTGACCCACTGGGGCTGGCCTGGTGGCATAGTGGTTGAGTTCGTGTGCTTTGCTTTGGCGGCCTGGGGTTTGCAGGTTCGGATCCCTGGTGCAGACGAACATACCACTCATCAAGCCATGCTGTGGTGGCATCTCACATACAAAAGAGAGGAAGATTGGCACAGATGTTAGCTCAGGGACAATCTTCCTCAAGCGAAAAAGAGGAAGATTGGCAACGGATGTTAGCTCAGGGCCAATCTTCCTCACCAAAAAAATAAAGAACATCCTAACAGCAGCACTTACATGCTTATCCGGAATTGGATCTGTGAATAAGGAGATCCCCAGCATGGTGAAAAGACTGACTACGAAGAGGATGATGGCAAAATAGAGGTAGTGCATGCTGCAGATGACCAGAGGGCACTTGCTGTTTGCCGGGCAGCTCCAGGGTCCGTAGATAAACTCCAACATCATTCGAAAGAAGCCAAGTAGAAGTCCTCCAGTCAGCCCCCAGAAGGCACCCTGCCAGAGGAGGAGCCCCCAGAGAGTCATCTGGAAGGAAGATGGGTGATGAGACAAACCATCTTCAGCCTTCCCTCCCTGACTAGTTGAGTTCTAAAGTTAAACTCGTCATAATAAGGGCGTCAGATACCTCGCAGACGCAAGGTAAGCACAGTGAGATGAGACCTTTTTCGGCTGAACAAAGACCTGAGAACTTGCACTCTCTCTTAGGTCAATCGGAGAACTTAAGAAACATTGGAAATACTTTTAAGTTAGATAATGAATAGGCACCTCAAATGTAATGTGTCCAAAAAGACCTCGGTCTTCCCCAGCGCTGTAAGTGGCACCTCCATCTCCCTGGTTGCTCAGGTCAAAACCCCAGGAGTCATCCCTGGTTCCTTTCTTTCCATCCTTCCCTACCACTAACCCATCAGCAAACCGTGTCGGCGCTACCTCCAAAATGTATCTGGAATCCAACCTCTTACCATCATCATTACAGCACCACCCTAACCCTGAACCGCCAACTTCTCTCACACACAGGTGGGCTCCCTACCTGGTCTCCTGCTTGTCCCCTGTCCCCACAGAAGCCAGAGTGATCTCTTCAAAGCATATATTGGAGAATGCCATGCCTCTGCTTAATTAAACTCTCCAATGGCTTCTCATGGCCTGCCATGAGAATCCAATCTCAACTCTGCTCTTCAGTTAACCCCATCTGTCCACCACTCTCCCCTTGGTCATTCCACTTCAGCCACTGTCTGTGACCCTCTTCCTGCATGTTGAACCTGCCTGCTTTGCTCTGGCTCAGGCCTTTGTACTTGCCCTTCTCGCTGCTTGGGTCTCCCTAGCTCTTTTCATTTCTGGCTCATTCTTCAGGGTTTAGATTCAATGATATGTTCTGAGGAGAAGTATTCTCCCACCACCTTGGCTAATGTCCTTGTGTCTCCTGCTGCCCCCAGCACCTGCCCTGCTACCCTCCATGATCTTTTTTTATCTGTTTATCTTTTAAACAGCACTGCATCACTATCATAAATCTTTGTTCTTTGGATATCATCTGTCTCCTCCAACTAGACTGTCCCCTGGCTAACAGAGAGTAAAGACTGCATCTTGGCTCTGCAGCTGTATCTGGAGGCTGACTCAGGTGGGGACAGATGTTGGAAGAGACAGAAGATATAGTATGGGGGCAAACATCTTGGAGAAAAAGCTGAAACCAAAAGCCAAGTGGATGATCCATGGGAGCCACTGATTGAAGGAGATGTGCAGAAAGGGAAGATCTAGAAACAGATGGGCAGCAGAAGCCAGATGAGCATGCCATCTGAAACAGGGTGGGAGAGAGGGCCTGGATTCTCTGGGTTGAAGAAGGTACCTGTAATATGCTTGTAACCTTGGACCAGGGGTTGCGGGAGAGCCACTGCCCAGATCTCCAGTTTTCCTTGGTGGCAAGCCCCGATAATTCAGAGCTGGCGTCATAGGTGGGAGGCAGGTTCTCCTGACTGCCTGCTCCTCTTGCCCATGCCCTTCCCAGGAGGGCAAAGAGAAGCATCTCTGGCATCTCTGGAGGCCAGCCACTCTCCCCCCACTTTCTTGGTGCTAAATTGAGTCCTGGTGAGCTGGGCAGAGAAAGGAGCAGTAGCAGGTTGGTCTAGAGGATTGAACACCTGAGATGAGCCTGTAGGAGGCATTAGCCAAGTGAAGGAGGAAGAAGATATTCCTGGCAAAGTCTATGTGAATGAAAGGAGGCCAAAGAAAGCATGGGACAGTTAGGAAACAGCACTGTAGATAGTTAGGAGTGGCTGGGGCCTAGGGGCTATGCATGAGGGGGCAAGGGCTGAGAGGTAGGCAGGGGCCAGATCACAGAGCACCTCAGACACTGTGCTCAGGAACTTGTGCAAGGCCCAGCTACTTACTGCTGTTAGGGTAAACAAGTTAAGATATGATTCAAGTAATAAATGAAAATATTCTGGCAAACTGTGCTTTCAAAGTCTTATTGATGAAACGATCGAACCATTCATTGGGATCTTTATTTAGTTTTAAGTGTGCCTGGAAGAGATGGTCTTCCCTGTAGGGAAGGTAGAAGGAGACCACGATTGTACAGCCTTCTGTAAGTATGAAATCTCTGAGCATGACACATCCATGTACAGAGGCAAGAGAAGAATATTTTCCTAGAGCCAGTTATGCATGAGGGAGAATCATGCACACTTTGCATCATCTAAGATGCAAAACCGTGTATTGATGAGGTCGAAAGTGGATTACATTGCAAAGGGAGAAAGCAAATCAGAGCTTGCCTTTTCCCGGCATGCATAAGGGGAGCTCCGACCAAATCTGCCCAGGAGGAAACCATCTCTCAGAAAGCAAATGATGCAAAGATGTGAGCTCTTTTTTTTTTTTTTTTTTTAAATAATTTTATTTATTTATTTTTCCCCCAAAGCCCCGGTAGATAGTTGTATGTCATAGTTGCACATCCTTCTAGTTGCTGTATGTGGGACACAGCCTCAGCATGGCCAGAGAAGTGGTGCGTTGGTGCGCGCCCGGGATCCGAACTCGGGCCACCAGCAGCGGAGCGCGCGCACTTAACCGCTAAGCCACGGGGCCGGCCAGATGTGAGCTCTTGAAGCAAAATAGATTCTCCTAGGGCAGCCCTTGCAAAGACAACTCTGCTGTGAAGGCAAGTCCTCACACTGTCCATTCAGCGGCCATGCCAACACACACTTACCTGCTCGGTGACTCTCTTGCAAAAGATGGCAAGCAGGAAGACGGCAGCAATGGGTTGGTGTCAGGTAACTCATAACTGCGTGCATGTATTCAAAGAGTTGATCACTGTGTGCTGTTTCCATAACAGGGACCCAGGCGATGGTGACAGCAAATAAGATTATAACAAAAAACCTGTAAGTGAAACCAACAGTCAATGGCAATTTCATGAGTTTTTTTCCCCTGCCAATAAAATATCTACAGACCATAAACTATTAACTCAATTATTCCTTAGGTTAAATTCAGGTGCCCATTCATAATAGGACCATAGGGCTACAGAAAAAACCTTCAACTTCTGAACAAATAAAACTGAGTGTCCGTTTGCCTGTTACTGGCTCATGCGTAGATTTTTCCACATTTGGAGGGTGTGTTTGGGGCATTCATGCTTAAGATATATAATATGTGGAAAACATTAATTTCTTGAGGGGTAGACACATTTTTAAAAATTTCAGACAGGGGCCGGCCCCATGGCGTAGTGGTTAAGTTTGGCGTGCTCTGCTTCAGCGGCTCAGGTTCACGGGTTCAGATCCTGGGTGTGGACCTACATCACTCATCAGCCATGCTGTTGCAGCAACCCACATAATAAATACAGGAAGACTGGCACACATGTTAGCTCAGGGCTCATCTTCCTCAAGCAAAAAAAGAGGAAGATTGGCAACAGATGTTAGCTCAGGGTGACTCTTCCTCAACCAAGAAAAAATTTTGGGCAGATTAGTATGGCATATGATTTTAAAGATTTCAGTAAGTTAAGTTCAGAAATTTACTTAATCCTCTAAGTTTTGCTGAAAATTTTTTTTTTTTTTTAAAGATTTTATTTATTCAGTTTTTTCCCCCCAAAGCCCCAGTAGACAGTTGCATGTCATAGGTTCACACCCTTCCAGTTGCTGTACGTGGGACTCGGCCTCACGTTGGACGGAGAAGTGGTGCCCCGGGGCGCTCCCGGGACCCGAACCCGGGCCGCCAGCATCAGAGCGCGCACACTCAACCGCTAAGCCACGGAGCCGGCCCAAGTTTTGCTGAAAATTTTAAGAAAATGAGTAAAGGCTCCAAATATCCATTGCTTTTTTTAAGTAAAAGATTTTTTAATGTGTATCCATATATAAAATTGCACTAGATAAAATGTCACCCAAAGATGAATAAATCTTAGTTCTGTGTCAACAAGGACTTAAAAATTATAATTTTGAGAGAATGATTGTATTAAGCTAGAAAGGACTAATTCCTTGACAGTCAAAGAAGAGGCAAGGATGTGAGTTCCAGCGCCGGTAATGATGGAATGTCTGCCATGGGACTAACCCTCCCACAGGTAACAGTGATAAAGTCTGGGCCAAATATAAAACAACAACACTGAAGAGCAGCCAAAAGTAGGCAGAAGTGGGAGGGGATTCAATCCCTGGAAGAACGGAACACGCTGGGTACTGTCTACATTTATCCAGCGTTTCTCCTGAGGGCCCCTTGCTAGTCTGCATGGTGTGGGGTGCCTAGAAGTTAAGCAGAAAGCCTCACTCTTACTGGGTTGAGGTGTCAGAAAACAGAGGTTGGGGATTCAGAGTGGCTGAAAATGTTGGGGGGAAATTCTAGAAAGGAGGGAGCCCCAGAGCAAGGAGGTCCAAATCTGTGTATAAACTCCCCTTAAACCCTTGGCTGACCCCTGAACTGTGCATGAAGCAGAGAATCTCCAAATAGTCCACCAACTAGCAACTGCTGGAAGGCAGAAGAAGCTGAGCACACATTTTAGCAGCTGCCTACAGTGGGGGAGACAGAAATTGGAGTCTGAATCTCACCAAGTTAGAGGGACTATGTAACCACCTCAGGCTTTTCACTGAAACCCCTGAGGGGCCATGCCTTAGAAGTAGAGACTATATCCCAGGACTAAGAATTTCCCTAAGAGCAAAACTGAAACAGATCCATCCTAATGAATTGTCAAACCAGGCCTCCACAAGTTTAAGGTGATCAAGTAGTAATTCACCTGCATGCTAGAACAAAAACCAATACTCTTCAGGGGAACATGATCCAGAGTCTCTACAATGTATTATCCACAATGTTCAGTATGTAATAAAATTTACTAGACATGTGAAGAAATAAGGAAATGTGACCCACAGTCAAGAAAAAAAGCAATCAATAGAAACTGACCCCAGGATGACTCAGATCCTAAAATTAGCAGACAAGGACTTCAAAGCAGCTGTTATAGCTATATTAAAGGACTTAAAGGAAATGATGGTTATGAGTGAACAGATGAGAGATCATCACAGAAAACTGGAAACTATAAAAACTTTAAAAAGGAACCAAATAGAAATTCCAGAAATGAAATTCCAGTTCAATATATGAAATGAAAAATTCACTGGTTGGCCTTAACAGTAGATTGGAAATGGCAGAAGAAAGGGCCAATAAACGTAAAGGCAGACTGATGAAAATCTAAACTGAAGAGCAAAGAGAAAAAAATTTTTTTTTAAATAAACAATGCCTCAGTGATCTGCGGAACAATAAGAAAAGGGCTAATATGTGTGCAAGCAGAGTCACAAAAAAAGAGGAGAGAGAGAGCAGAAAAATATGCAATGAAATAACAGTCAAAAATTTCCCAAATTTAGTGAAAATCATTAATTTACGGATTCAGAAGCTCAGCAAAATCCAATCAGGATAAATACACACACCCTGAAGCACATTATAATGAAAGTGCTGAAAATAAAAAATGAAGAGAAAATCTTGAAAGCCACTGGATATCCAGAGAGCAATATTATGAATTATGGCTGACTTCTCATCAGAAACAGTAAGACAGAAGAGAATGGAAGAGCATCTTTAAAGTGGGCAAAGAAAAATACTGTCCCAGAATTCTACATCCAGCAAAAATAAAGATGAAATAAAAACATTTTCTGATAAACAAAAATTGAGAGAATCTGTGACCAGCAGACCTGCATTATAAGACATGCTGAAGAAAGTTCCTAAGGGTGAAAGGAAATGACACAGATGGAAACTCAAACCTAGAAGAAGGAATGAT